TCTTTTTTTGTTCACTGCGACGCCTGCGCAGACGACCTGGTTTCGAAGTATAAATCAGCCTTTAATCCCACACTGCTCCCCAGGCTCCACTCAATGGCAGCCCACTGCTCCCCAATGGGATGGTTTAAATGTAAAGAGCGTATTTTCCCATTGTGGGACAATAAAGGACTTTACATTACATTAGTTTCTGTGAAAAAACAAATGCTGCTAAATCCACATCTTTGTAATGCGTCAACCTTTTGCTCCATTCTTAGGCTGTAATATTCTTTTCCGAGACCTCTTGCGAGTTGTTCTTGGTTATCTCAGTTTTTCTTTTTTTTGGTGAAATTGCATTTGTCCCCTTCTAAAAAAAGTCTCAACAGTTCTTCCTGAAAAATTCAGAAGTTTTGAAAGTTATGAAATCGGTGCCATCAGTAGGGTTTGATAAGGTCCAAAATGACTGGCGAGAGCTCTTTGCATTCTTCTTGTGTGAAAACATTTAATAGGTAATCAGATAGAACTGAACTCACTGGTATTAATTAGCCCAGGTAGGGAGATGGTTGTTTTTTGTGTTTTTTGTTATTCCTCTATTTTTTTTACACAAAACCTAATGTATGCATTTGTTTTGATTACTTTGCTCTGTGCAATTAACTTTAGCTTCCATGGACATCTGGTTAAAAAAAACATGTTCAGTAGATGGTTTATTTTTTAGTTATAATCTAAGATCCATTAAGGATGCAGGAGATTTTTTACTTTAGAACTTCACCTCTCAAGAGCGAAGGCTGGACGGCCTTCGTTATAAGCAGGATTTGCATCGGCTTGATCTCCATCTAACCTTTCCTGTGTCATCACCCAGCGTCTAGGGTCATCGCCCTATCTATGTGTGATCCCTGATGGGCAGCTGGTCTCGCGGTGCTGTGCTGGAGCTGTACAGGGCGCTGCTCCGTGCAGGGCGTCACCTTCAGTACACCGACCGAAACTACTACCGCCGGGCCGTGACCCGTGAGTTTCGGCGTTGCCAGGCCCTGACTGTACCCGAGGATAAGGAGGAAGCGCTGAAGAGGGGCCAGTTTTTTCTCAGCAGCAGGCTGGGTGGGCTTATGTAGGGTTGGGGAAGGACCGTCTGGAGCTGCATCAGGGAGGTCGTCATCTTTCAGGTAGTATCCACAGGTGGTTTGTTCATGTTGATTGGTTGACAACAGGATAATAAGCAGTTTATTCTTCTGTCTTTGTCCCTTTTCTGTTATTGTTTTTCTGTTTTGTTTTTTCAGCAGTAAGATGGCTGGGGTAAATGGAGACCGTAAGGGGAAAAAGGACGACAACGGGATCGGAACCGCTATCGACTTCATGCTTTCCAATGCCAAGCTAGTGCTGGGGGTGGGCGGGGCAGCCATGCTTGGTATTGCAACACTAGCTGTCAAAAGAGTAAGCAGGAGGATCTCAGTCTGTCATTGTTCTCTTATGTTTACCTCACCCAGACATGATCTAAAGGAGAAAACTTTCCAACCTGAAGCTTTGTTTACATTCTGCACTCCGTTGTTTGTGCAGATGTATGATCGCACGATAAGTGCTCCCACCAGCCCCACTAAGATGCAGCAGGCAGGAAAGAGAAGCTGGGAGGAGCCTGCGTGGGTGGGGTCATCACCGCGGGTACTAAACCATGACATGAAGTCCACAGTTAGCAGGTCACTCCAGTCTCTGCCCACCTCCTCACATTCTTTTGAACCAGGTGAGGGAGAAATTCCTCAGTCACACTGAATTTATTAATTTTTTTGTTCAATTTTGAGATCTATTTCTTTTATTTTCATGTTTTTCAATGCTTGGCTTTAATAAGACATGCAGCCCTTTTGTCTTTTCTTGTATATCTGTTCACAGACAGCTTACTGGGAGGAATTTTACTCTTTCTTTTCAGTGGGTTTGGATCTTCTGTCTCCCTGTAGTTAATGTCCATTAATGTCTAGATATTTTAGCTTTAAAGTAGCAAGATCCTCTTTAGATTCAGTGTGGTTTATTCAAAGCTGTCGATGGCAGATAAAAAAACGGTGCAAAATGATTCATGCACTTTGAAACTTTTTGGATTCTTCATGTATTTGATTTGTTTTTATTCTTTTAAAGGCCATCATAAAGTCGTGTGAAATGTTGTAAAATGATGATAAAATTCACAAATTCTTCTTGGACATTCCCACATTTAGCTCCAACTATTTCCCTCTTAGCTTCCTAATTCATTCTAAATAAAAAGATCACCAAATATCTGCAGCATTTTTAATTAAAGCATGTCTGTCGTCCCCAAAGACTGTCTGCGAAGAGCCGTCGGCCGCTCCACACTGGGAGGAGGCGGGGCCTCCCAGTCCAGCCTGATGCGCGCCAGGATGCACCTCTCCCTGCAGGAACATCTGTGGGAGTTCTACCAAACCAGGGTCAACATCCCTTCAGAGGAGCAGGCCACAGCCAGAAGGGCGGCGTTGGACATCTGCGCTGAGCTCCGGGTCTTTCTTCACGCCAAGCTGCCCGACATGCCGCTCAGAGAGATGTACCTCAGCGGCAGTCTGTACGACGACCTTCAGGTGATTACTAGCATCCGTTTACTGTCATTTATCCATCTGTGGCTTTGAATAAAAAGTTTTATTTGAACTTTTTCAGGTGGTGACCGCTGACCACGCTCAGCTCATGGTGCCTCTCGTCTTGGAAAAGAATCTGTGGTCATCCATTCCAGGGGAGGACACTATCATGAACGTCCCAGGGTTCTGGCTTGTCCGCCGGGAGAACCTTGAGTACTTCCCTCGAGGCAGCAGCTACTGGGACCGCTGCATGGTCGGCGGTTACCTTTCCCCCAAAGCGGTCCTGGAGGTCTTCGACAAGCTTGTCACCGGCTCCATCAACTGGCCGGCTATAGGGAGCGTGCTGGACTACATAATCCGCCCTGTTGTTCCCTCTGAGACGCTGACCCTGGAAGTCCAGTACGAGACGGACCGGAGGCTGTATGTGGACTTTTTACCTCTGCTGGTGATGGAGGAGGGAACCTCGCTGATTGCCAAACCGCACCGTCTGTCCGCCGAGCGCAACAAGAACCTGTGGCGGCAGAGCTTCCGCGTGGCTGAAACGGCGCGGCTCAGGGCGCTCGATCAGGAGGACGGGGGCTGCAGGTGCACCTGCCTCAAGGTGGCGAAGGCGGTGTGCAAACTCAACCCCGCCCTCCAACGGCTCAACTCCAGCCAGCTCACCAACACCATCCTGCTGCTGAGCGAGAAGGAAGGCGACTGGACGCACGACGCGCTGGCGGACCGCTTCCTCCAGCTGCTGCGAGCGCTGGTGGGACACCTAGAGGCCGGGAGGCTACCATGCGCACTCAGTCCCAAAGTTAATTTATTCTGTGAGCTGACTGAACAGGAAGTAGACGAGTTGGGGTATACTCTCTACTGCGCCCTCTCAGATCCAGAGGGGCTGCTGAGAACTGCAGTGGAGCAGCCTTAAACTCAAACTACTAGTAAAATGCCAACCTTTTTTTTTTTCTCTCTCTGGGGGTCAAATATTCATCAGTCGATTGAGGCTCCAGGAGAAAAAAAACCTGCATGGAAAAGTCACTTCTTTTTGTTTTTATCACTTCTTAGAACATCAGTGAGTAACAGTGACGCAGTAGCAGACTGTTTCACCTCATGGCTGTGTCCTTTGTTGTTCAGATATCCTCAGCTCAGTGGAAGGATTCCATAAAGCCATTGTATTAATGAAGTTTAGCTTGTTGTTCTCTATGGAGTTCAGGCAGATGAAACTCGTAGGGCTCTACTATTCATTACGAAGATAAACGCACCAAATCAGCTTTATCTTACCCCCATTCTGAGAAGCAGGTCTATTTAAAGAAGTCCACAGTTACTAAGCCTCCTGTCTGTTTTTAATCTAGGCTCATAAGACTGAATATCATGTTGAATTGTGTTTGTGCCGGTCCAAGATGTAATAAAATTGCTAATCTGCCTTAAAGAGTCAGCATTCTGTAACTTAAGAAGTGTGTTTTGCGGATGTTACTCTTGGGTTTTTAAAAATATTTCACGAAGATGAGCCCAACAAAAAGGAAATATAACTTTCATTAATACAGTGGCTTATGTCCTTGTTACATTATTTTGTGTTAAAGTCCCTGGCAAAAGTATTCAACACAAAATAAGTCATAATCTTAAAAGTGTGGCATGCCCAATTTACTCCTCACATAAAATCCAGTGCAACCGGTTGCCTTCAGAATAAACACTTTTAATTGAATATTTTTTTTTTAATGATTAAATAACTTTTGAAAACAGTTTGAAATTAATTTTATTGTGTGGTGATAAAACAAATGTGGCTAAACAGAAATTTGGTCAAGACCTTATAAAACCCTTACCTCATTTTTGCACCACTTTTTCTTCGTTCATCCGATGTTCAGATGTTTTCTGGAGCAACGGGATGAAATGGAGAGTTTGGGTGCTGAGTGGAACGTTTAGCACGGCGCTGCATGCTAACAGTGTTTTAAATGTCTTTAATGGCTTAGCTTGAATGGGTTAAACCTGCAACTTAGAGAGTGTTTATTTCTGTTTGCAAAATGTTCAGATTTAGTAGATTCAGTAATGGGGACAGAGATGGTCGCTGATCGTTTATAGTAGTAGCCATTCAAAATTTCCCCACTTTTGTTGACTGGTCCTTGGCTGGGCCCTTATAATTCCTTTTTAAACATCTAAAATATTCTTTCTGTCATGATTTGTGAACATTAAGATGTAAAGCGAAAGATCATCTCCTCAGACCCTGTAATTCAATGAAAGGGTGGAGTCAGAGTAAAAACGTGCACTCCCATGAGAAGGCCAGTAGCTTGAAGTTGGAGGGTATTTTGCTGCCATTCGCCTGTCTTTTGACTGGGCAGTGCCATTTTGAATGGCTGCTCCTGTAGAAACTAAAACAGTTTCTAGTTGGGACAGGTTGCCTGGAAAATGCTTTAAGCTCCTCAGTTCCTGTGTTGTTTAAAAGGATTCTCGGTATGCATCCTCCTGAGGGGGTCTGAATCTTTGTAGCATTTTTTTTTAGAATCAGAAGACATTTTATTTTTGCATCACATATTCAAATAGGTTGGAGAGGGATGTCCCCACAGGTTGTTGTTAAACGCTCTTTTTATTTTTCCACATCTAGATGCAGATTAACTTAAATGATCCAGACTGTTTGTGTTAAGTAGCCAAACAGGGATTGGATTAGTCCGTCACTGAGGCTGGAAGGAGCAGCCTTGTCTGGGATCCATTATTAACTCGTAGTCAAGCCTGTCTGATCTTCTGGTTGGACAATAGCTTCTAGGTGCTAATCTTAGCTCAAGATCAGGATCTTAATGCCGGTATGCAGTTACAGCGCCTCGCAAAAGTATTCTTCATGAACTTTTCAACTATTTGTTGCATAACTATTGCAGATATGCAAGTTGGAAGGAAATGATCTGTATTGTTTTAAAATATTTGCACAGGGTACAAGTTATATTTTTATGTTCATAATCCATTATTTACCATAGTAAAATTGATTGTTACCACTGTATACTATTCTCAAAGTTATAGTATGAGCTTCTCCCTCAAACTGTACAATCCCCATACTTGGATCAGCTGTTTAGCAATCTACATCAGCTCAAATGAACATAGATATGTGAAGTCTAGACTGGTTCATGGTTTATTAATCTGGATGTCCAGATTCCACTCTTGAAAATTCAGAGTAACATGTCAGCTTTTGTTTTTTATTCTCTTTGGTGCCATAACTGGTTCCAATTAATGAGCCACAGGTGATGATGGACCTTTGGTTTGATTTCTTGTGGATTTGATATAAGAATGTTTTATTTTCTATCTTTAAGATCATGGAATAAGTAAGAAAGTGAAGAAAATAAAAAATTTTTCTGTTTTATTTATTTCCAAGGCTTTGAAAAGTATGATACTCATTTCCAGACAGCATAGAACCCCTGATGTAAACTTTTAACCTGCTGGGTGAGTTACAGCTACAGTACTTGTATTTTGAGCTGTCAACTAGCTTTGCACGTTCCCTTTACAAGGTAGCTTAAACTCTGCCAGGTTGGCTCCATCCGTTAGCTCTCTGCAGCTCCACTATCCATACTAAATAAAAGCATGCCCACAGCATAATACTGCCAGTAGGAGCTGGTATGTCCAGGGCCAAATAATAAAAGTCAAATTAACAATTTCACCTGAGCTTTGGAACTCTGTAGCTCCTCCAGAAGCACCATGGGCCCTCTACCTTTCCACCAGTATTTGTGATATTTATATATAAGACCATTTTTTTTTTATTAGTTTATTCTAAGAAATTTGGAGCTGTTTTTAAGTTTGTGATCATAGAATGAGATGGGAAAGTAAAATGCGGTATTAATACTTTTGTAAGGATGAGTTTAATTAGCCAAAGATGCTTTTTATTTGCTCAGAAATCTGAGCTTGATTAGTTTCCAGTCCATAGGTTCAAAATGAATTAAAGTGAGGAAAAGAGGAAAAGAAAACAGCCTGATTGAAGAGTAGAATCAGTTCTCCAGTCATTCCTCAAAATCATGTTTTCACTCTTAGCCTTAGAATAAAAAAAGTTCAATCGCCGCCTCTTTCACCTCCAATGTCTATAAAATGTACATTTAGGGATTTATTTAATCATGAAAGTGAATATTTTTGTATTGATTATGCATTTGTAACCAAAAAGAGCAGAATATTTATTTTCACTGATGCAGATGAACATAAAGTGTCCATATCTGTGCATCATGAAGTGCTTTTGGTCTGAGTGTAGTTTTCTGTGCAAACAGTCTTCCTTTGCATACTAATTTATGCTGTATGTTACTACTGTGCAAAAGTGAGGTGTCACTGTGCCACATCTGTAATGTCCTAGAATAAAACCCCAGACAGACGGCTTCTTCTGTGTGAAGGGTATTCTAGTCATATGCTGTGATGCATGTACCCCAGAAACCATTTTTTTTAAAACAGTTTAGGAGTTAAAACATTGGAGCACTTTGAATACTTCAATAAATGTTGAAAGGCTGTCATGTATGATCTGTGTGTTTGTGTAAAAATCTGCTTTGAAATCAGTTTAATAAACACAGAAAACCATGAAATGTTTGCCTTTTATTCAGTCAGCTTTTTATTCAGTCAGCTTTTTATTCAGTCAGCGTTCATAAAAGGCCTGAATTTATCTTGAGTACAAAATATTTCCTCTTGATTGAAAGCCGTGAGATTAAAAAAAAACAAAAAAGGTTTCAAGCGAAGCAAATTAAATCCATTTTTGGAAAACTTTAAAGCGAGAAAATATCAAACAGCTTCACATAAAACCCCAAAAACAAGGATCCATATCAGCACAGACTGCTGATTTTCACTGCAGCATCCTTAGAAAAAGGAGAATAAACTGAAAAAAAAAAAAAAGATGAAAGTTGTATTTTTAATTTTGTTCTGATTGGTAAACGGATTATTTTAAATGAACTGAAGTGAAATTCAACGGGTTTCATTCGTTTTCTACTTGGCAGCTGCAAACCCGACTCGGTCCGCGTTCCTGTCAAACACGGTGTAGTACTTCCCGATGAACACGTCTCCCAGGATCCAAAGGGGCCCGGCCGGGGGTGGGATATCCATCCCCATGAACCCAGACAGGCAGAGAGAAACTCCCATCTGAGACTCCTGCAATAAACAGGGGAAAAATATTTTCTTTTTCATGATTGCAAGATAATTTTAAGTTTCATTATTATTCTTGATAGAGAAACAGATCTTAAGCCTAGGCTTATATGGGACACTTCTTATAGTCTGAAGTCTGAACTTAATTCTACTCTGTTGCTCCTGAGATTGACCAAACTATGTTCACTGACTAAAAAATTTTAGTCATATTCTAATTAAATAAAAAAAAAAAAAAAAAAAAGTTGCGTTCACAAATTTAGGGCTGAAATAATCAGATTGTAATTAATCGATTACTGAAAAAATCTTCAATGTAGTAATCGATTAATCATTAAATTGAGTGTAGAGACTCTAAAACATGCCTTAAGCTGACAGAAAAACCCACTTAGAGCAGTAATTATAACATGATTGTAAATAATATTAAAAAAATATATATATATATAAACATTTTGCATTTAAGATAAAACAAAAAATATTTTCATCTGTTAATATGCTGTCAATATGGAGTTTCACTTGCTTTATTTTCATATAAAATCTTCTTAAAAGGAACCTTTGGATTATTAATCCAATAATTTAAAACAAATTTGCGACATATTAATGGATTTGCAAAATAATAGTTAGTTGCAGCCCTAATAAATTTAAATTAACTTTCTCTGCAGGCTGGAAGCTAAAGTTTTGACTGACTCACGGTTGCAGAAGTGGAGACCCTCAGAAATCTATTTCGAAATCTTTTAAATATATACATGTTAAAAATGCTCTTTACACTGAACAGTCTTTCTGCTCATCTAAAATTAAGATTTTAAATTGAATACATCTTTTAAAGCTTTGCATATCAGTACATTTAGGCCACAAACTATTTGGAGGCAGATATATTTAAATCTTTTTTTGGAACCAACTTTCTGAGAAGGCAAGCATATTTGGACTGAATAAAGCTTCATGCTTTGTGTGCAATGTGCCATAAACACCCTGACTAAACTCTTCATTGGTCAGGGTCTTATAACACAAGAGGCAACTTTCTAAATGCTGAGTCACAGTTGAAGAAGAGTTCAGACAAACTAAGACATAAAACTAGAACTGAGAACAGCCCACCTGATGTCTGATTCACTGGTTCATGTTTATTGGCACAATAAGCTTTGGCTTCTGTACTTCTGATAATTCACCCTAAAGATCAAACTGCAGTGTTTCCCTCTCCTTACGCTTTAGAAAGAGAGCCAATCCGGTTTATCCAGTAAGGCTTTTACAGATCCAGTTAATAACTTGGATGTAGGATCCAGGAAAGGAACCAATAAGGCTGGAACCATAAAACCAGAGAAAACTTCAGGCAGAGGAAATATAGTAGCTGTTTGAATAGAGGACAGAGAGCTGATGGATCCCAGGACAGAAGCATGGGGGGTTGGGGGTTCAATACAGAAAACAACTCTGACCTACTGGTTAGGCACAGAACTATATGAACTCAAAGACTCTTCCTTTTAAATTCTCCTTCTAAAGTTGTTCTTCAGGTTTTAGACCAGCTGCATTCTGAACAAATTTCTTTTCAGGACAGAATAACTAAAGGGACATTTATTCACCACAGAACACTCACTCTTAGTTCTCTTTGGAAATTCCCCTTAAGGGGATTTACCAATTAATTTATTTTTTACTTTGTCATAGAGCTTTTCAAGTAACCAGTCTGCTTCAAATTCACGTCATTGTAATTTCCATTTGTACAATACAGGCCTCCTAATCGTGTTTCTTTCTACACAGTATCCAGTTATAGCTCACTAAATAAGTGGAATATTTCATCAATCAGGTGACCAAAATGCTTTTAAAGCGGCCCAGTGTAACTTTTGGCTACAAAAGGCCATTAGAAACATCACACATTAGAAAAAAATACAAAGCCTTCCACAGAGGTTTGGACTCTGATAACGGACCACTGTGGAGCAGAAGATTTAGAGTCAGACTTAAAAAGACAAGGCTGCATTCAGCCCTCTGGATTAAATCCTACAGAACCAAAAATAGGTCTGATCAGGAGAGGGTCATATCTGTTGTGTTAGTTAGCTAGCTGTTTAATGGGAGCTCAGACTGAAGTAAAGTGGCGCTCTGGGTCACATGGTCCATTCAGGGACAGATCTGACCCTCTAAAGTTACATACAGGCACGTTTTTCAGAGAGGCAGAACTGCAGAGCATCAATACCTTCCAAATAACAAATCCTGAAAAGTCATTTCAAAAGTTTCAAACTAAACTAATACTCGAGTCAAAATTTGTGCTGCATGAAGTAGTGGTTTTTGTTTTTTTTATTATACTAAGGATTATGTTTTTCTGTCTTTTTAATTGGCTTTTCCTTGTACTTTTTGAAGCACTTTTGGTATTTTGAAAAGTGAAAGATGCCATTAAAGTAACATTAATCACCAAATAAAACCGATACAACTTATTACACAAATAAAACTCTCAGCAATGTTCACTTTCCATGTTGTAAAATAATTCAAACTTTGAGCAGTCTATATGTTGCTTTTTGAAGGAACAAAATGTGAAAAATCCACTATTTTAGGTAAAAAGAAAAAAAAAAAACTAATTTTTGTAAAGAAAAGAAATGCAACATTTCATATGGGCTATTGTAAGGGGTCATGCACCACCTTCCGGTTTTGTTCTCTAATCTCTAGTTCACATAGTTGGGCCTGTGCCATGACTGTAGAGTATATGTGCATGCAAACGGTAACATAGGCACAAAATAGCAGACAGAGCATCCAGGGGACCAAAACATTCACCTGCAGACCATCAGGACTCATTGTCACAGCAAAAAAATAAAAAATAAAATAAAAACAATGTTTTTTTTGATAAAGAAGTTTTCAGAAAAAGGGCATAACCAAATCACCCCTTGTGTCATATTATTGGGCTTAACAGTAAGGTGTAATAAAATGTAGCGCTGTTCTGGTCTACAAATAGTGCTCAACAGCACACCTAGTGGTAAAAACGTATTACTCTTTTAAATGCAACAATCCTGTTAATTTTTCAGACACTTGTAATGTTTCCGTTTCCACAAGCAAAATAAAGGCATCACAAAAAAAACCTCTCTTTTAATGAGTTGTAAAATGTAGAAATATCCAGTTCAAATTCCCTTAAATCAATTACGATTAGAAGAATTTGGATTGATTAACAGTACAGCTCGAAATATAAACTTTTATATTCAAGACTTGAACAAATAAAATAAGCCTAGGCTCATTTAAAGTGGGCAGTTAGATGATAGCAGCTGCTTAGAGCTTCTAGAAAAAATAAAAAAAGTCAGACCATCAACCTTTTTTTGTATTCGCAATACTGCCAGTAGGACAAAAACTACTTACAATAACCCCAAAAAGTGAGTAAAATCCTGAACAGTGAATCCGATTTTATGTCCAATCAGAGAGAAAATTGTCCTACGAGGTTGTGGTGTTTAGCGCTCATTATAAGTCAATAGTGCTAAATACACCCAACAAGAGGGCTTGCATACTTCCGACTGAGACCTCAAATCTCACTTAGACAACACAGCAATTCAGCAGCAATTTTACGGGTCTGACAGGAAGAAATATGCAGTTACAAAGTAAAACACATTCTCTTTGAGGGAAAATACAAAGTAAAATCTTTAAATCACACACAGAAATGGTTGGGTGTGCTTCATATGCACTGTGCATATGAAGCAGGTGGGGTAGGCTGGGCATAAAAAATTAAACATTTTAAAATAAGAATAGTTTATCCAGTTCAGAAGGACAAATCAGATAAAGTATTGATCCTCTTGGAGTTTAACAAAAAACAAAATGAGAGGCAGACAGTGCAGGTAAGCAAAGCTCCTCACTCTTCACAGATCTCTCACTGAGAGTCACCTTTCACTGCCTAAGGCAGCATATAAACGATACCACAGCTTTTTCCTGCGTTTTTCTTTTCTTTAAACTTACTTCCCATTATATTTTAATATAGGCCTTTAAAAATGATCTGTTCTGGATCAAGAGATGCTCCACAGACTCATGCAGCAGGGCTTTGCTTTGTAGCTGTGACAGTTTTTTTAATTTCATTTATTTGTAATAACTTTCCATTATCTGTATCAGTCAAATGTAGGAAATTGTTTGAATTAGTGTGATACAGAGACAGAGGAGCCTGTGTCTAGAGAGTCAGAGCCTCTATACTCAGTCAGTGTAAGATCTTCATAAAAATAACATATGGAAAATAAATGAAAAAATACTCTTGGTAGAAAATGACAACAGCCCTACCATGCATTTCTGTGGATTTTTTGTGGCTTTAATAAAAATCTGTAACCTCAAAAAGAGTGTAATAATAAGCATACTATATAGATACCTTCATTACATAATCCTCTCCAGTCAAGTTAAAAATCTTCCCTCCGATGTTGAAAGAGACAACAGGAAGAGTTGGAATCTTCTTACAGTCAATCATGTACTGGAGAGAGAAAAGAAAAAACAGCATAATGAAATTAATGGCAGAGCAACAGATGAGAATCTTTATGAAGGTTTACCACTTCTACCTCTCCCATCAGCAGAGGCAGAGCTCCAATAGCCTTGTTAAGAGCTCTGATTTCTGCTGCTGGACCGACAATTAGAGACGTCCCCGTGTCAACAATTGCTTGGCAACTGGCTTTGCAGAGAGTCAACTGGTTGCCCACATCAATTCTGGAAGGTTAGAAGAGCCACAGATCAATAGGTATTAGTTGATATCAGACAGAGTAAAATTGCTACATTATCTAAAAATACAACAAATGAAAGTTGCTTTATTGCACAAAAAGAGGAACTTAAAATGGATTGAAAAACTATCCAGAAATGGAAGTGTTGTCATTTCTCTTACTTGATACCACTTCCTTATATCAGAAAAGCCTTACCTATCCATTCCAACCTGCCAGTAGGCCTTTCTCGTCACATTAACATAGTGCAGGTCTCCAGTGTAGTACTGGGGGTCCACCCCCCCCAGCACCAGCTCTCCTCCCAATGCTGCCTTCGGGTCCCTTAAAGTTAAACAGATTTCAGCAGAAATTATTTCGAAAGTCAAATGGTTTTACAACAGATTACTCAACTAACAAACCAACCCCCCCACAGTGGTTTCCTCCTTGCAGTGAAATTAAAACAACACTTAATAATGCTTAAACTTGCCTCAAACCCACCTGCTGATATAGACAGAGAAAATGTTCTGGGGCAGCAGCTTAGCAGCCATGGCTGTATCAAACACCGGGGTGACGTTAGCCACTGATATGGAAGGATACGCCATCCCCAACACCCCATCGAACCGAGCAACAGCAAAGGTGATGCCAGGTTGCTTTACTGCTTCCCCAAACTGCTGCTTGGGAACAGATAGACCTGCAACCTGCAAGCAAAGGAAGCGACAGTTAAAAAGCAGAGCATTCTGTCTGTCAATGACACAAAGAAAGCAATAACTGACACCATGCAATGCAGTTGTAAAACAACATGCGTCTCTTTCTTAAACTCACTGAGACGGTGTCCTCACTGATGAAGCCAGACAAGCTGCCTCTGCCGTACCGGATTGCAAACTCTGTGCCGTTCTTAACATACGTGCTGGACTTTTTGGAGTTGTACCGATGATGGACCCCTAGACAGAGAAGAAGAGGGGGCAAAAAAAAGTATTACACTGGTTAAAAACTGCTGAAATTGGTAGCATAAAATTACTTTGTTAAACATTTTTGACACAAAGTGATCTCACAGCAGGCCAGATCGAAGAAAGAGCAGTGGATGGATGGGACCCAGAGGTTGGAGGAGCCGGTGTCAAACAGGACCGTGAAATCCTGCGGAGGGGTCCCGATACTGATGACACCATAGTACTGGGCCTGAGGAAACACCAGGAGGGGTCATAGCAATAATGGAACAGAAAAAACTCATAAAACAAAATCAGCCCATTCTTATAACTTTCGCCCATGTTCTATTTGTTCCATTGGTTTTTTTTTGTATTAAGAAACCCAACAAAAAATTTTGTAAATACCCAAAGTTGCAGGACCATTTCAATCTCTTAAAATCTATATGCATTTCTATTCTAATACCATTTATCTCCATACCTCAAAGGAGAGTAACCTCAATGCTACACTTTGGAGGCCCATTATGCCTGAAATAGAGTTCTTTAAGTCCATTCTTTAGCATAAAGTCGTAGAGAAACGGCTGTTCAACAGTTGCATTTCCAAATTCTCCCGAGTGGTGCACAACTTTACTGACGAGTGAATACAGTAAATGTGATTGGTCAATTATCAAAGGGGCGGGATTGTTGTGGCGGAAGATCCGCAAGAAGTTTGGTTGTGGCTGGTTTGTCGGAAGGATCTGGCTAACCAGTTAGCAACTTAGTGCTAGTAGGTTCCCAATGGGAAATTCCATTGGGACCAAGGAGCACTTAGAAACAACACTGTCAAGGAACGCTATGGACAGCGGAAACATGCAAGAGGAGGAGAGTTTTGTGTCGGAGGTCATGGATGAGTCTCCTTCTTCATACATTTTTTTATTTAGAGGAGGAAAGTGGGGAAGAAGATGTTGTGGAAGAGTACGCCAG